TGAGCAGACAGGGGTGCCTGGCTCGCTCAGTCAGTGGAGAATGTGACTCTTGATCAATGATCTTGATCAGTGTGATCTTGATCGTGAGTTCAGACCCCACGTTGGGCATAGAGCTTACTTAAAACAAAAACAAACAAACAAGAAATTGAGACAAGAATTAAAGAAATAACTTAGTAAGAAATAGAACACCTGTGGGCGCCTGGGTGGCTCAGCCGTTAAGCGTCTGCCTTCGGCTCGGGTCATGATCCCGGGGTCCTGGGATCGAGCCCCGCATCGGGCTCCCTGCTCCGTGGGAGACCTGCTTCTCCCTCTCCCACTCCCCCTGCTTGTGTTCCCTCTCTCGCTGTGTCTCTCTCTGTCAAATAAATAAATAAGATCTTAAAAAAAAAAAAAGAAAAAGAAATGGAACACCTGAACAACTATATCAACACTCAAAACTTGATCTAAATGACATTTACAGAACACGACACCCAACACGGCAGAATGCACATCATTTTCCTTTTTTATTTTTTTTAAAGATTTTATTTATTTATTTGAGAGAGAGAATGAGATAGAGAAAGCACATGAGAGGGGGGAGGGTCAGAGGGAGAAGCAGACTCCCCGCTGAGCAGGGAGCCCGATGCGGGACTCGATCCCGGGACTCCAGGATCATGACCTGAGCCGAAGGCAGTCGCTTAACCAACTGAGCCACCCAGGCGCCCTCATTTTCCTTTTTTTAAAAAAATAATTAATTAATTACTTTTTAATAGTATGCCCCACACCCATGTGGGACTTGACCTTGCAAGCCCAAGTGTCACATGCTCTACTGACTGAGCCAGCCAGGTGTCCTGCACATCCTTTTCAAGTGTGCATAGAAAATTAACTAAAATTGGGGCACTTGGGTGGCTCAGTCAGTTAGGTTCAGGTCATGATCTCAGGGTTGTGACATCCAGCCCCTCACCTGGTTCCCAGCTGGGCGTGGAGTCTGCTTGAGATTCTGTCTCTCCCTCTCCCCCTGCACCTCCCCTCCCCTAAAAAAATTAAGATTGACCAAATTCTAGGCTATAACACAAGCTTTAATAAATTCAAAAGGATTGAAATTATATAGATTATGTTCTGTGACCTCTACAGAATTAAAATGGAAATCAACAACAAAAAGTTTCTGGGAAAATTAAAATATTTGGAAGTAAACAACATACTCCTAAGTAATCCATGGATTATAAAATAAATCACAATGGAAATTAGGACATATTTTTAACCAAATGATATGGAAAACAATAGATCAAAAATTTGGAGATGCAACCAGAACAGTGCTTAGAGGGTATAGTTTTAAATGTGGATATTAAAAAATAATAAGGGTCCAGGGGCGCCTGGGTGGCTCAGTCGTTGAGCGTCTGCCTTCAGCTCAGGTCATGATCCCAGGGTCCTGGGATGGAGCCCCGCATCGGGCTCCCTGCTCCGCAGGAAGCCTGCTTCTCCCTCTCCCACTCCCCCTGCTTGTGTTCCCACTCTCGCTGTGTCTGTCAAATGAGTAAAATCTTAAAAAAAATAATAATAAGGGTCCAAAATCAAACATACATGCTTCTATCTTAAGACTTAGAAAAAAGAAGAGCAAATTAAACCCAAAATAGAAGGGACAAAGAAAATAGCAAAAATCAATGATATAGAGAATGAATAAGTAATAGAGAAAAATCAATAAAAGCAAAAACTAGCTCTTTGAAAACCTCAATAACTTTGATAAAGCTCCAGGCACACTGGTTTTATGGGCTGAATTGTGTCTCCACAAAATTCATGTGTTGAAGTCCTAACCCCCAGGCTTAAACGTAAACTGCGAAACTATCAGACTTCTAGAAGAGACGTAGAAGGAAATCTACACAACCTTGGATGTGAAGTTCTGGATATAACATCAAAATCATGATCCACAGAAGAAAAAATTGAGTTGGACTTCATTAAAATTTAAAACTTTTACTCTGTGAAGGACACTGTTGAGAAAATGAAAAGATAAGTCACAGACTTGGAGAAAATATTTGTAAATCACACACCTGATAAAGGTCTTGCTTTGCTCCAAAAAATATAAAGAACTCTTAAAACTAACAATAAGAATATAACAACCCAGGGCGCCTGGGTGGCTCAGCTGGTTGGGCACCCTACTCTTGGTTTTGGCTCAGGTCATGACCTCAGGGTTGTGAGATCGAGCCCCGTGTCGAGCTCTGCACTCAGCACAGAGTCTGCTTGAGATTCTCTCTTCCTCCCCTTCTGTCCCTCCCCCCGCCACCGCAGCTTGTGCTCTCTCTCTCTTTCTCTCTCTCTCAAATAAATAAATAAGTTACATTTTTTAAATTAAAAATTAAATTAAAAACCTGACATGTCAGTTCCTCCAAAATATTAAAAATAGAATTATCATATACATAACCCTGAAATTCCACTTCTGGGTATTTACCGAAAAGAACTGAAAGCAGGGCCTTAAAGAGGTATTTGCACACCTGTATTCACTGCAGTAATATTCACAACAGCCAGCAGTGAAGGAGCCCAAGCGTCCATCGACAAACGAGTGGATAAACAACATAGGGTCCATCCATACAATGGAATATTATTTATCCTTAAAAAGGAAGGAAATTCTAACACATGCTGCAATATAGATGAAACTTGGAGACATTTTACTAAGTGAAATCAGCCATCACAAAAGGATAGTGTATGAGGAACCTCTTATATGAGGTCCCTAGAGTTGTCATTCATATAAACAGAAAGTAGGATGGTGGGTGCCAGGGGCTGGGGGAGGGAAATGGGAGTTATTGTTTAATGAGGACAGAGTTTAAGTTTCACAAAATGAAAAGAATTCTGAAGATTGGTTGCACCACCATGTACTTAACACCACTGAACGCTTAAAAGTGGTCATGGTGGTAAATTCTGTTATGTATATTTTATCACATTTTTTAAAAAGTGAGAATATCACATTGCTGGCAAGGGGTACAGCAACAGAAACTCTCATTCACTGCTGGTAGGAATGCAAAATGGTACAGCCACTTTGGAAGGTAATTTGGCAGTTTCTTACAAAGATAAAGATAATTTCACCATTCAATCCAGTGATTATGCTGCAGATATTTTACTCACCTGATTTGAAAGCTTCTGTCCACACAAAAACCTCCAATAGAAATTTCGTATTCGCTTTTTTAGTAATTGCCAAAAACTGGAAGCAAACAAAATGTCCTTCAGTAGGCAAATGGATAAACAAACTGTGGGATGTCCATACATTGAATACTATTCAGTGATGAGAAGGAAAGAGCTACTGAGCCAACACAGACGTGGACAAGGGCATGGTGTTAAGCAGAACAGGCCAGTCTGAAAAGGCTCCATGCTGTTGCCTCCATGACCATGGCCTTCTAGAAAAGGCAAAACAATAGACAGAGTAAATAGATGGATGATTGCCAGGGGTTTAATGGGGGTGGGGATTGAGAAGATGGAGCACAGAGCATTTTGCAGCGTGAGGAAACTCTCTTCATCGTCCTGTGATGATGGGTACATGACACTATGCGTTTGTCCAAACCCACAGAATTTTACAGCAGACAACGTGAGCCATGCCTGAAGCCACCAGATGGAGGGGGTGGGGACACAGTGCTGAGCCAGGTCCCTTTGGAAATGAGCGGGGTCTTACTGTAAGGAACTGTAAGGGGCTCCCTGTAAGGAACGTCACAGGACCTGCACTGCTGTTGGTAAAGTCGTTTCCCATGGGGTACCCATCAGCAATTCTGAAACCACGGCCCACGCGCTGGGATTGAGTGATTGAGTAGGTGGGTGCTGGGTGCTGGGAGTCAGGTGGGAGCTGACAGAGAAGCAAGGGCCACGGTAGATCAATCCATGTGGTGTGGGTTAGAGGTGGAAACGTCAGTGGGAGCTCATGTTTAGCTTAATGTAAGCACAGAGAGTCGCATATAGAAATGTGTGTGCGCACTCGTGCACACAGATTAATATACAGATATTTATCTCCTTGCTCTGTCACCAACGAGGACATCCCCGTAGCAATGAGCACACCCAGCCCCCAAATTTTGGTCTCTAACATCATTCTCCAAGAAAAGGAAGACACGGAAAAATAGCTGCCCTAGGCCTGAGGCAGGGAATGTACCAGATGAGCCTGGAGCATCTTTTAGTGCCAGAAAAATGATTCACATTGTTGGGCCTACTTCAGAGAGACCCAGGAGAGCTCCCTCTGAACGAGCTCCCAGTGGCCAAACATGGAGCAGTTTAAACAACCAAATGAGTAGTAGTGGATTATAATCCACCGTGTGCGTGGATACTGAGATACCCGCAGATGTAAATACATGACTGAATGAGTGAATGGAGAAGACATAAATCTCGCACGCAGAGTGGGGAACAATTTATGTCGCGGCTCCCCACTCAAGAAGGTGAAGCATAAGTGGAGCATGACCCCCGACCCCCGGAGTGTGGGCTCCACATAGTGACATCCTCCCAAAGAGAACAGTACACACACTGGGGAGAATGAACACACCCCATACAGGGGTCAAGGTCCCGTCCTCGGTGACGAGTCACATTGAGAGCAGGGACCCTTGATGTGACGTGATGAGAAGGCCCTTCAGCTCTGTGGTCTTCCTCCCCAAACCCATCACCCAACATCACACACATCCCGATGGAGGGACTGCCCCAGAACCTCCCCCCAGAACTGCCAGGCCCCCCGAAACCAGGGACGTGAGAGAGGGCTCAGCCCAGAGGCAGGCGCCTGGGGAGACATGACGACCAGGGCAGAGAGAGGGTGTGACAGGAAAACCAAGGAAACCTGAACAGTGTGTGGACTTGTGTTAACAGCGAGCCAGACTGGTTCCTGATTTGTGACGCGCACAGCATGTCAACAGGAATCTTTCTTGCATCCGCTCACTCCCCTGCCCGGGACACTGGCCTCCCATTCTCTCCCGGTGTCACTTCCAGCCACTGCCTGCCTGGTCCTTGTCGCGCAGTGTGTGTCTTGTGTGGTGTGTCCCCGCGTGCGAGCACAGGTGTGTTGGGTTTCTCTTGCAGTGGGCATCCCCACCATCCGGTGGTGCGGGGCAGAGGGGGACTACAACGTCATGGTGATGGAGCTGTTGGGGCCGAGCCTGGAGGACCTGTTCAACTTCTGCTCAAGGAAATTCAGCCTCAAAACTGTCCTGCTGCTTGCTGACCAGATGGTAAGAATCATGTTTCTGAGGTGACAGGGAATCCTGGGCCCTCGGCACGTGCTTGGTGTGAGTCAGCAGTCTGACGGGACCTTCAGGTGCTATTCTCCTTCTATGCCTGTTAGTGCCCAGGGAGAGAGTGGGAGTGCATTCACCTCTGCGGCAGGAGCGTGACCGTGGGCTGGGTTTGGAGACATGTGTTTTTCCTGGCGGGCCCCTGCAGGAAGGACTGCTGGTGCAGACTCATCAGGGGGCGCTAGTGCTCTCAGGCTGCTGTCAGTCGACCTCCCCCCCCACCCCCGAGAGCCAACGAGGAAAACTGCCCCGGCCGGCTGGGGCTGTGAAACATGGTTCATTCAGCATCCTTCCCTGGTTGTGGAGTTACTCTGCTCTGGCCAAGGGCCGCAGGACATGCAGGTGAGGGCACAGCCCTCACTCTGCCAGGCAGGTGCCTTTCCCAAGGCTGCTGCTGGGATTTAATCTCTGGTCATTACTTCCTAACTACAGATTAGTCGCATCGAATACATTCATTCAAAGAACTTCATCCACCGAGATGTGAAGCCGGATAACTTTCTCATGGGGCTGGGGAAGAAGGGCAACCTGGTCTACATCATCGACTTTGGGCTGGCCAAGAAGTACCGGGACGCCAGGACCCACCAGCACATCCCCTACCGCGAGAACAAAAACCTCACCGGGACGGCGCGCTACGCCTCCATCAACACGCATCTTGGAATCGGTGAGCCCGTGGGTGGTGGGGTCTCCTGTGCCTCCGGCCACTAGGCTGCCTTGGGCGTAGCCATCTCCTAGAGAAAGGCCAGCCTCTTGGGGGACCCTGGGAGCGGTCAGCATGTTTGGCATGGAGGCTGGCTGTCCAGATCCTGGAAAATCCTTTGTGAGGTGTGGTGGGGGCAGGTCAACAGTTGGGCTTTCTGACAGTCCCTGTATCATTGGTGTCACTCATCCAGGGGTGTCACAGTTTCCTAGGGACACATCAGGGGCAACTTCTGGTGAAACAAAGAATCCAAGAATATTTTTCTGTGGTTTTAAAAGTTCGTTTCCACAGTCAGAGTGCGCCTAGGGTCTTGGCTTTGCGGCAGCAGGTGCACACGTGCTGTCCTTGACCCATTTCCCGTCTTTTCCAGAACAATCTCGAAGAGATGACCTGGAGTCACTGGGCTATGTGCTCATGTACTTCAATCTGGGCTCTCTGCCCTGGCAGGGGCTGAAGGCAGCCACCAAGAGGCAGAAGTATGAGCGGATTAGCGAGAAGAAGATGTCCACCCCCATCGAAGTGCTGTGTAAAAGCTACCCCTGTGCGTGTCCTCAAGGGCAGGTGTCAGCCGGCCCGCGGTCTCAGGGCGGCGGTGGGGGGGCACTGGGAGACTGGCTCCCAGATGGTGAAGAGTATCCTTGAGCTGGTGGCAGCCTTCTGTCCCTGCTGCTCCTTTACCTTCCGGGGACCATGACCCAGGGAGTTGTCCTTGTTCCTGTGGAGAAGTGCCACAGGTGAAACCAAGCTGTGCTGTGTGGCACCGGCTTTTCTTAAACGTTGGTTCCTCCCAATGTGACCAATGTTTCAGACGCCATGTCTCATGTCCTAAGCGTGCGGCAGCGGATGGTGGCAGTCAGGTCGACGGACACCCGGTCAGGTATTGCCATTTAGCGCTGAGTCTCTTGTCTTACAGCTGAGTTTGCCACGTACCTGAATTTCTGCCGTTCCTTGCGTTTTGACGACAAGCCTGACTACTCCTACCTGAGGCAGCTCTTCAGGAATCTCTTCCACCGCCAGGGCTTCTCCTATGACTACGTGTTCGACTGGAACATGCTCAAATTCGTAAGTGTGCCGCCAGCACGTTTACTTCTCAGCATAGAAGTCAGCCAAAGGCCTCTGCCAGATGAGGTGCAGGTTTTAGAAGGCACACTCACCGCATTGGGGGAGCCACGTGTACCTGCGAGGGCTGTGGCCTAGGTGGGGTCCACCCCAGGGTGGGAGATTCTGAGAAGCAAGATCCCTATCAAGGGAGAGCAGAGGCAGCACCATGTCAGTGCTGGGTCCCCTGGAGCCAGCGGAGTGGGTCTTCCAAATGCGGGTCTGCCTGGAACCAGGGCTCTTACTTGAGTGATAAGTCTTGAATTGGAAGGTACTTCTGTGATTGCTGTTGACATGGCTAGGAGCGCCGTGGTTTTGACTGCCCGTGGTGTTGAGGTGTGGCTCCAGAGTGTGTGTTACGCAGGAGGGTATGGCCAAGGCCAAGGGCTCTGGCCACGTGGAGTGACCTCCTGCCCCTCCTCCCTCTGACCCAGCCGTGCGGGTGAGCAAGCAAGGTGGGTGCCTGGAGAGGTGCTAGGCTGTGGTTGACTTTGGTGCCAGGCTTATTAAATGGGCACATGGGTATGTGCAGAACTTGAGCTTTGATGTTTTCTTCTCTAAATCCGGCCGCCCATCCCTGAGTCTTTTATAGGAGTCTAATTAATTAATTTTCAGACACTATCGCCAGAGACTTTCAGGGTTTTTTGGAACTTCTACTTTGTTTTTCATTATATATTTGTTCTATTCAGTTAGCTTAAAACAAATTGGAACCTTTCCAGGGTGACAAGATCTGACGGAGGAGCAGGACCTCCTCTTCAGAGGGCGTAAGACAGAAAGGCTTGTCCTGTGGCCTTGCCGGGGTGTCTGTGCAGGTCTGTGCCCTGCCGGGGAGAGCCAGGTGCCCCGCAGTGGGCTGGCTCAGGACGTGCAACCACCGATTGCCCAGAGTCTGGGCAACCTTCTGGCGTCGTTGCCCCCGCAGCAGGGCTGGCCCCCCTTCACTGGGCAGGGCGGGACAGTGAATCCTCTCAGCTTTGCAGCGTGCGTGTGGTGGGACCAGCACTCGGCTCTGCACTGCTGCTGGGAAGCCCCCACGGGCAGAGTGGGGTACAAGTGGGGGCGGCTGCAGCAATCACCTTTCATTTGCAGAAACTGATGGTGGCTGGATTTGGCTTGTGGGCTACAGTTTGCCGACTGTTGCGTTACAGCGCTGTTTGTTAGAACATGGCGGGTATCGTGCCCCAACTCGTCTGGGTCGTCATTTGCTCAAAGTGGAACTAGCTGTGGTGTCCACCACGCCGGACCTTCCATGGCAGACCTGGCCGCCTGCGTTCTTGTCACGTGGGCCCTGGCCCAATATCTGCCTAGGCTGTCTGGGCTCTGGTTGGGCCCCCCGCTGACCAGATGACACCGCTTCTGTGTGCCTCTCGGATCCCCCGGATGCTAACACCTTGGGCCTGCCGCTAACCTGATCTCATATGATTTCCTATTTCTGTGTGGGTGCTCAGGGGGAAGAGGCCACCCAGGTGCCATCAGTATTTGAGGTTCAGGAGTGTTGGGAAGATCTTGTCCCCTCACTCACAGGGTCACGGGGCAGGTTGCTGTCCTAGAGGGACAGATGCCACCTCCCAGCCTGCTACATTGCTTGGATGGCTTCTCTGGCAGCGGGGGACAGCCGGGGCCCTTGGGTGGTTTTCCACCAAACCCCGTTCAGTCTGGTCTTACCCTGTTTCCTTTGTAGGGAGCCAGCCGGGCCGCTGATGACTCCGAGCGGGAGCGCCGGGACCGAGAGGAGCGGCTGCGGCACTCCCGAAACCCAGCCGCCCGCGGCCTCCCCTCCACGGCCTCTGGCCGCCTGCGGGGCACCCAGGAAGTGGCTCCTCCCACCCCCCTCACCCCTACCTCACACACTGGTGAGTGGGCTAGCCCCATGTCTCCCCAGCAGGCACTGAGGGTTTCTGGTTTGTGTGTTCGCTGCTCTGGCTGTTGGAGCTGCAGGGCCCCACACGGGCTTCAGGCGGGCACGCCTCGTGGGAGAGGCTGTGTGCGTCCGGTCCTAGTAAACTCTGGTTTCTGAGGATTGGCTGGCCAGGGGACATCTGTTTCTCTTTCTCTGTTGTTCTTCTTTCTCGTGACACGGATTGCTCCCTAGGAGCCTCTCAGTACCCACCCTTCCATCCCTCCACGAGTGGCATCGTAAGCACGGGGGCCTCGGGCTGCCCTCATGCTGGATTCCTGGTGCTTCGCTCCTGGGAAAGCCCGCCTGGAGCCAGCACGCTGGCGTCCCTGTGTGCTCCGTGGGCCCTGCCCACCACTGCTGACCTCGGAATCAGGGGTGCAAGCCAGCCAGGGGTCCGCCGCCTGTTGCCGCCCTGGAAATCCGATGTGTCGCGGCACCCACTCCTCTGGTGCTGGATGCCGAGACAGCTGAGGAGAGGCCCCCTCGCGCTGGGTGCGGGGTCTGTCCTGAGCCCTCACCGTCACCCCTGTCTCCCTCTCCAGCTAACACCTCTCCTCGGCCCGTGTCCGGTGTGGAAAGAGAGCGGAAAGTGAGTATGCGGCTGCACCGCGGCGCCCCTGTCAACATCTCGTCCTCCGATCTCACAGGCCGGCAAGACACCTCCCGCATGTCCACCTCACAGGTACGCGCACTGCACGGGTACGCGCTCT